ATTGCAGCTGGTTATGTAAATATTTGGGGCATTGTTGGGATGGAAAGTATTTCAAAAACTATCTTCACCACTTTGTTTTTTAAGGACACAAAGACTTTAAAGCAGAGGCTGGGGTCTTAGTAAATGTATTTGTCTTGTTTATTAGACTGTTATTTCAATCCAGTTCAGGAATTAGTTGCTTAGTATCGTCTTTTGCTAACACAGCCTTACCCTGAAATAATGTGATTTGCAGGAAATTGCTTCTAAGATTTATTTCTAACACAGAAGCTTTGAAGAGCAAACTCAAGTAATTCAGACAATGCTTTGAATAAGCTGTTAATACTTCTGCACTTTGCACCTAAAGGAATTCCATAGTTATACTTTTAAAATAAGTTAATCTTATTAGCTACACATGCCAGAGAGAAATATGAAATGTGACTCAAAGGAAGTCTATGGAATGGGATTAATTTACAAATCACTTGGGAGTTATGTGAGGACACAGTAATGAAAATAGCTTCAGAAGGGCTAAAAATTCTTTGGTTGCATTCTTCAGACACTTTTATTGTGAGAGAGTCTCAGAAGTAAGACAATTAGCATGACTGTCAATCAGTGGGATGAGAGGGGATCATACAAATATCACCCGCTAATAATAATAATAATAATAATAATAATAATAATAATAATAATAAGGTTTTTGTGGGTTTTTTCGGGCTATAGAGCCATGTTCTAGAGGCATTTCTCCTGACGTTTCGCCTGCATCTATGGCAAGCATCCTCAGAGGTAGTGAGGTCTGTTGGAATTAGGACAACGGGTTTATATATCTGTGGAATGGCTGGGGTGGGGCAAGGAGCTCTTCCCTGCTGCAGTTAGGTGTGAATGTTTCAGCTGATCACCCTCATTAGCATTTGAAGGCCTGCCTGAGCCTGGGAAAATCTCTTGCTGGGAGGTGTTAATATGTGCCTGGTTGTTTCCTCTCTGTTGTTTTGCTGTTGTAATTTTAGAGTTTTTAAATACTGGTAGCCAGATTTTGTTCATTTTCATGGTCTCTTCCTTTCTGTTGAAATTGTCCACATGCTTGTGGATTTCAATGGCTTCTCTGTGTAGTCTGACATGGTGGTTGTTGGTGTGGTCCAGCATTTCTGTGTTCTCAAATAATATGCTGTGTCCAGGCTGCTTCATCAGGTGCTCTGCTATGGCTGACTTCTCTGTTGAAGTAGTCTGCAGTGCCTTTCATGTTCCTTGATGCGTGTCTGGGCGCTGCATTTGGTGGTCCCTATGTAGACTTGTCCACAGCTGCATGGTATACGGTAGACTCCTGCAGAGGTGAGAGGATCCCTCTTGTCCTTTGCTGAACGTAGCATTTGTTGGATTTTCTTGGTGGGTTTGTAGATTGTTTGTATGTTGTGTTTCCTCATCAGCTTCCCTATGCGGTCAGTGGTTCCCTTGATGTATGGCAGGAACACTTTTCCTCTGGGTGGATCTTCATCTTTACTCTCGTGGCTTGTTCTTGGTCTTGCAGCTCTTCTGATGTCTGAGGTGGGGTATCCATTGGCCTGTAGAGCCCAGTTGAGGTGGTTCAGTTCATCTTGGAGGAGGTGGGGTTCGCAGATTCTTTTTGCACGGTCTGCCAAGGCTTTTAATGGTGCTTCTTTTTTGACTTGGGTGATGGTTGGAGTTTTTATGTAGATATCTATCTGTGTGTGTGGGTTTTCTGTAGACGGTGTGACCCAATTGTTGATCTGGTTTGCGGATGACTAGGACATCTAGAAAAGGCAGTCTTCCTTCATTTTCTTTTTCCATTGTGAATTGGATGTTTGGGTGGATGCTGTTAAGATGGTCCAGGAACCTGTTGAGTTCTTCTTCTCCATGGCTCCAAATGGTGAAGGTGTCATCCACATATCTGAACCATATCGTGGGCTTTTTGGTTGCTGTCTCCGAGGCCCAACACATCAATAAAACAACAGCATAACAAATACAACAAACTCATAAAACAAGCAATAAACATTAAAACAATAGCAATAAACATTAGACAATAACACCATGACACATTTAAAACTAAGGCCAGGCCAAATGTAATGATTAAAATTTTAAAATGCTGAACGTGACAGGTGAGATGGATAGGTTTTTGGAGATAAGTGCAGTGTGCAGACAATCTTAATCTCTAGTAAAGTGCAATTGGGACATGATGCTAGGAGTTTACTATTCTGGGAAGGCACACTGGAACAACCACGTCTTCAAGCTGTTCCTAAAGACTGCCAATGTTGGGGCCTGTCTGATATCCTTGGGGAGAGAGTTCCAGAGTCGGGGGGCCACCACGGAGAAGGCTCTGTCCCTCGTCCCCACCAATCGCGCTTGCAACGCAGGTGGAATCGTGAGCAGGGCCTCTCCAGATGATCGGAGAGATCGTGTGGGTTCATATACGGAGATGCGGTCAGCAGGTAGGCGGGTCCCAAACCATTTAGGGCTTTGTAGGTAAGCACCTGCACCTTGAATTGGGACCAGAAAATGAACGGCAGCCAATGGAGCTCCTTAAACAGGAGGGTTGACCTCTCTCTGTAAGGAGCACCAGTTAACAACCTGGCCTAATCTGTAGTAGTGTCATCATTATATTTTGGTGAAGCAGCGAATGGTTGGGGTTTATTTCATATATACATTTCCTCGTATAAGAATTTAATTTTGAAATCTTTCTACTCTCCCTTACATTGCGGCTTGTGCGTTATAATTTGGTGAGCAGCGGTGTGATTGTTATAAGAGTTCTGTAGATTTCCTTTCCTCTCTAGAGGAATTGTGAAGAGGGTGAACCTACTTGTTTCCGGTAGTAGTTACCCCACAGTGAAGAGGTTTTTTATCAAGCTTTGGGGCAGTGAAGAATATGAAAGCCAAGAGGTACCAAGGAAGGAGGCCATGGCTGTAAGAAACATGAGCATGAAGAAGCATGAAAAAATGTTGTTGTTCATTCGTTCAGTCATTTCCGACTCTTTGTGATTTCATGGACCAGTCCATGCCAGAGCTCCCTGTCGGTCGTCACCACCCCCAACTCCTTCAAGGTCAATCCAGTCACTTCAAGGATACTATCCATCCATCTTGCCCTTGGTCGGCTCCTCTTTCTTTTTCCTTCCATTTTCCCAGCATCATTGTCTTCTCTAAGCTTTCCTTTCTTCTCATGATGTGGCCAAAGTACTTCATCTTGGCCTCTACTATCCTTCCCTCCAATAAGCAGTCAGGCTTTACTTCTTGAAGTATGGACTGGTTGGATCTTCTCGCTGTCCAAGGCACTCTCAGCATTTTCCTCCAACATCACAGTTCAAAAGCATCTATCTTCCTTCACTCAGCCTTCCCTATGTCCAACTCTCACATCCGTAGGTGACTATGGGGAATACCATTATCTTTTAAAAAATCAATTCTGTTCAATCCCATTTATGCACATGTGATAAGAAACGGCTATCTCGTGGAATGCAATGAATTGTAGGGAGTGAGGGAGTTATGCTAATTTAAATCTGACTTTAAACCAAAACTGAGCTCCTAAAATTTTATATGCTTTGACTGGTCTTCAAAAACATGTTTATTTTATTAACTATTGATGAATCCCTTCTCTCATAGAAAAAGTGATGGGAACTTTCCTCCATGTTTCAATGACTCCTTGTCCTTTTTGGTTGGTGAGGCATTGACTACCCTAAGTTTAATTTAGGGCATTCTTGGAAGCCAACGTTACTGTTCTTAAATACGTTTAAATTAATTCAGGGAGACAGAATTAGCAGTTACAATAACACTGGAAGCAAGGTTACCTAGAAAGTGGTACAAATTCCTACCATAATTTAATGTGTTTCTTTTTTTAAACCCAACATATGTTCCATCCAGGGATTTCCAAGAAATGACAAAAAACAGATGGACAATTTAGTACCATTGCATTCCTTGGTCAAAACCACCAGTCAAAAGAGCTACACCACCATTTAAGGCAGTAATTATGGTTGAATTGTCTTGCAGCACATTATTAGATGGGCATTTCCAATGAATGGTTTCCAATGTCTACGTTATTCATGACACGGTTACATTTATGATATGAGAAGTGTGGCTTTTGTTCTTCAGATTTCATTTCAGTGGTTTTAGCAATGCCATCTGTTATTAAAAATACAAGATAAGTCATGTAGGCCACATAAATAGCTTAGTTCCTGAGTAGTTACTTAAGAACATCTGTGAGTCTGTACCTTGGCAATAAGACATCAAAAAGACATCAAAACTATCTTTTTGATGTCTTATTGTCTTTTGATCCGGAGAGGCCCTGCTCTCAATCCCACCAGCATCGCAGGCGCGATTGGTGGGGACGAGAGAGAGGGCCTTTTCGGTGGTGGCCCCTCGACTCTGGAACTCACTCCCTAAAGACATCAGACAGGCTCCAAGTCTGGCAGTCTTCAGGAGGAGCTTGAAGACGTGGCTGTTCCAGTGTGCCTTCCCGGAATAATGATCCCATAGCATTGTCCTCCAAAGCACTTTACATTTCTTTAAGTCTGCTCGCATGCCCTTCCACAAACACCAGTATCACTGTTCGTTCATGTCCCAGCATTATTTCCAATTTTAACTCACTGTTTTTGATTATGTGTTGTTTTATTGATAATGTTGTGTATTTTATTGTCTATGTTTTTTTAATTGCTTGTATTGTTGTTATTATTGCTTGTATTGTTGTGTTTGGGCTCGGCCTCATGTAAGCTGCACCAAGTCCCTTGGGGAGATGGTAGCGGGGTACAAATAAAGTATTATTATTATTATTATTAGTAGTAGTAGTAGTAGTAGTAGTAGTACACACTACCAAACTACACTTCATATGTTAGTAAGCTATGACCAGAACTTTCTGTAATAAGCTGTATACCTGACAAAAAATGATTTAAACTAATTATTATATTAAGAACTGACATAGAAAACATAGATGACATAGAAAAATTAATAATTCATCCTCAAGTGTTCCTATTCTGTGATCACTTAGATTCGCTTACCAGGTTCTTCTTTGCTTTTTAATATCTTTACAGCCTGAAAACTTGTTATACTACAGCCAGGATGAAGAATCTAAGATCATGATTAGTGATTTTGGACTGTCAAAAATGGAAGGTAAAGGAGACGTCATGTCTACTGCTTGTGGCACACCTGGATATGTTGGTAAGTGTAAAACTCTTCAGTGTCTCCATCTGACCTGTTCAGTGACTCTGTTCTTTTCTTGAAAACATGTTTTAGCGAGGGAGACTATTCTTTATTAAAGAAAAACCTCGTTGCTCTTATACTGATTCAGTTTCTTCTTTTATATTAGCTGGGATTTTCTGTGTGCTGTTTAACTTTTGTACAGGCAATGAGACACACTTCTGTATAACGAAGTAACACAGTTTAATTATAACTTCTGGCTCCAACGCTTGAGGTTACATTTGTGTTTTGTTGCAATCTTGAGGCTTACAGTCAGTATCATATACTTGGTTTACTTTTCTGAAACAGACTTTCAATGTTTCACATTCACAAACATGTTACACACTCTTGACTTAATATTCTGACTAAAGCACCACTGGCTTTCTTTATGTTCCTAAAACTTGAGCTCTGTTTAACTAACTGCTTCTATATATCAGAAATCTTTAACACATCTTCATAACTGCTTATTTCTAACAGGAGTTCCTAACTCTTTTCTCTCACAGAAGTTCCTAACTGTCGCTCACAAACAGGAATCCCTAACTCTCCTCACAAACAGCAATTCCTAACTCACCCTTTTGACTCTCTAACTGCCTATTTTTCAACTTTGGCTCCGCCCCTTTGGAATGTTTAGCTCTCTTTCCCCAACTGTCATTTTGGCCTAGCAACGTTTTCAAATCCTGGGCCTACGCTAATCTGCATATGACCAATCGGCTTCCATATGCAAATGAATCCTATCTCTGCTGTTGCTACCCTGTCTGTGCCTATTCTTCCCTATCTGCCATATGTAAACATAGAGCTATACACAAAAAATTTAACATAGAGTAGCAATTTCGCTACACATGTGAATGATGCACTGAGCTGTGACTGCCACTGAAGATCTGAGGAGCATATCAATTCACATGTAGTCTGACAGGCTTAACTGAATGTCCTAGAGATGTTCAAGAAACCTCCTATTTTTATTACCTGACTGAAATAATGAATGCGGTTATGGAGACTTACAGTACCAGTTGCAGCTTTCTACTCAAACAACAGCTTCATTGAATAAATCTCTACCAAATTTGTAGAGATTCCTTCTCTACAAATTTGACAAGTTTTAAGAACAAGGACAAGTTTTATGAGCAATACTTTCCATCCTGGTTTTAATTTTAAGCCTCTTCTTCCAGCTTGTTAATGTGATACACACATTTAATGTATCATCTACTGTGATTCTTAGGAATTGAAGAGCCTTGATTAACTGTCTTGAAAATGTAGGTTATTCTTTATATTTCTGACATATTGGCCTTTATTTGAAAGAGAGATGCTCTGAAGAATCATCATTATGGAATGATATTTTGAGGTTGGCATTTACTGCTGATTGAAAACATGTGAATGATGCTCTGAGCTGTGACTGCCAGTAACAAAAGGCTCCTTGGTTAAGTTTGGATATAAACACAGCATGTATATCCTATTTCACATTTTAATTAATTATAGAGGTTTGGATTTCCCTCTCCCTGCAGCCATAAGTGGAAGCTGGAAGTGATGATATATGAGATGCATTTATTTTGAGATCTCCAATTAGACTTTGTGTCCTTCGGGTAAATTGATTTAAAAGGCTATTTGTCAGTCGGTCTCTCAATTTGGTACTTTTGTCTGAGGCAGGGATGGACAGGTGGAGAGTTGCACAGATAGCTGAGAAATCCTTTGAAGGGCCCATTGGTGGGCACAGCTAGAAACATAGCAAGGAGAAACCTCCCTTCCCAGAACTCAAGGTCTGAAGCCTCTTTTCCAGTCCTGAAAAAGAAATCTCAAAGGGAGAACTCTGCTTTGGAAGTGTATGCTTACATATTTCTCATTTATTACACTCTGTGAAGGTAGACTAAGCTGTATAGCAGGGGTCACCAAACTAAGGCCAGACTTTTGATCTCATCCTAACAAATGCGGTCGAATTCTTAGGGGCAAGTGACCATGTGCTCCTGCAATTTGAGGTACAAAGGAGGGCCAGAACTAAGACAAGTCAAATCCACATTTTGGACTTTAGGAGAGCTGATTTCCAAAAAATGAAGGAAACACTGAGCAGCGTTCCGTGGACACAGATACTAAAAGACAAGGGAGTTACAGATGGATGGGAGTTTGTCAAGAGTGAAATACTCAAGGTGCAATTGCAAAAAGTACCAACAAAGAGAAAAAATAGGACAAGTGCAAAGAAGCCAGAATGGATGTCCAAAGAACTTCTAACTATGCTAAGACTCAAAAGAGACATGCACAAGAAGTGGAAAAAGGGAGAAATCACCAAAGAAGAATTCAAACAAATAGCCAACTCCTATAGGGAAAAGGTCCACAAGGCTAAAGCACAAAATGAGCTCAAGCTTGCCAGGGACATTAAAAACAATAAAAATGGCTTCTTTTCTTATGTCAGTAGAAAAAGAAGAACAAGGAAGCGATAGGGCCTCTTCGAGGAGAAGATGGGGCAATGCTGACAGGGGATAGGAAACAGGCAGAACTGCTTAATGCCTTCTTTGTCTCAGTCTTCTCACAAAAAGAAAGTCATCTTCAACCTCAGCAAGATGGAGTGGATGAGGGATTAGAGGACATCCAAACCCAAATTGGGAAACAAGTCATCCAGGAATACCTGTCCACTCTAAATGAGTTCAAGTCCCCAGGGCCAGATCAACTACACCCAAGAGTATTGAAGAAACTAGTCATCTCGGAACCATTGGCAATCATCTTTAAGAGTTCTTGGAGAACGAGAGAAGTTCCAGCAGATTGGAGGAGGGCAAATGTGGTCCCAATCTTCAAGAAGGGAAAAAAGGATGACACAAACGATTATCATCTCCTCAGCCTCACGTCGATACCAGGCAAGATTCTGGAAAATATTAAGGAAGTGGTCTGCAGACACTTAAAAACAAATGCGGTCATCGCTAATAGTCAACATAGATTTATCAAAAACAAGTCATGCCAGACTAATCTGATCTCTTTTTTTGATAGAATAACAAGCTGGGTAGATACGGGGAATGCCGTGGATGTAGCGTACCTGGATTTCAGTAAGGCCTTCGACAAGGTCCCCCATGACCTTCTGGCAAACAAACTAGTCCATTGTGGGCTAGGCAAAACTACGGTTAGGTGGATCTGTAATTGGTTAAGTGGACGAACCCAGAGGGTGCTCACCAATGCTTCCTCTTCATCTTGGAAAGAAGTGACTAGCGGAGTGCTGCAGGGTTCCGTCCTGGGCCCGGTCCTGTTCAACATCTTTATTAATGACTTAGATGAAGGGTTTGAAGGCATGATCATCAAGTCTGCAGATGACACCAAATTGGGAGGGATAGCCAATACTCCAGAGGACAGGAGCAGAATTCCAAACGATCTTGACAGATTAGAGAGATGAACCAAAACTAACAAAATTAAGTTCAACAGTGATAAATGCTTTATAATCCAGTTCAAAGCAGATAATCTGGATTATATGGCAGTGTAGCTTCACCCTAGGAAGTGAGAGTGAGAGAAGAGGTCACTTAAGTGAATACCATAACTTATTTGAAGATCATTTGAAACAGGAGTGGCAGACAATAGAACAGGATCCATTAGTGAAACTCTGGTCTATTTAGCAAGGATGCCTGAGTTTCACTGGTTTACAAATAGGACCAACTAAAATAGCCTGCCTTCCTAAATTAGGTTGCTGAAAAAGAACACTTGGTAGACAAAAAGTAGCAGGTTATTCTGTGAAAAGACTGCTGAGATCTGGTATTTATCACAAATTTCTGTGCTGGGTATATATGTTTGGAGGAGATCTAGAACCATAATTCTTAACATGTATTGTCAAAGGCTTTCATGGCCGGAATCACTGAGTTGTTGTAGGTTTTTTCGGGCTATATGGCCATGGTCTAGAGGCATTCTCTCCTGACGTTTCACCTGCATCTATGGCAAGCATCCTCAGAGGTAGTGAGGTCTGTTGGAACTAGGAAAATGGGTTTATATATCTGTGGAATGACCAGGGTGAGACAAAGGGCTCTTGTCTGTTGGAGCTAGATGTGAATGTTTCAACTGACCACCTTGATTAGCATACAATGGGCTGACTGTGTTTGGAGCAAACTTTTGTTGAGAGGTAATTAGATGTCCCTGCCTGCTTCCTCTCTGTTGTTGTGCTGTTGCATTTTTAGAGTTTTTTAATACTGGTAGCCAGATTTTTTCATTTTCATGGTTTCCTCCTTTCTGTTGAAATTGTCCATATTTATACATGGCTATCATATCTCCTCTCATTCCTCTCTTCTTCAGGTTAGGCATGCCCAGCTCCTTAAGCCGCTCCTCATAGGGCTTGTTCTCCAGACCCTTGAGCATTTTAGTCGCCCTCCTCTGGACACATTCCAGCTTGTCAATATCTCTCTTGAATTGTGGTGCCCAGAATTGGACACAATATTCCAGGTGTGGTCTAACCAAAGCAGAATAGAGGGGTAGCATTACTTCCCTAGATCTAGACACTATGCTCCTCTTGATGCAGGCCAAAATCCCATTGTCCCCCATTCCGTATCTTTGCATTTCGTTTTTTCTGCCTAAATGGAGTATTTTTCATTTGTCACTGTTGAACTTCATTTTGTTAGTTTTGGCCCATCTCTCTAATCTGTCAAGATCGTTTTGAATCCTGCTCCTGTCCTCTGGAGTATTGGCTATCCCTAACAATTTGGTGTCGTCTGCAAACTTGATGATCATGCCTTCTAGCCCTTCATCTAAGTCATTAATAAAGATGTTGAATAAATAAAGATGATGTTTCACAAGAATACAGTACTGGAACTGAAGCTGCAACACGTCCAGTTTAAAAAGGACCATGTGTTCTCCAACTTAATTGCTTCTTGATGGGCACACATTCAATCTATGTTCCTAGAACTAGTTGAAGAAATGGGTTCAATGGCTCTAGATGTTCCTTTAGTCAGTGACTGTTGATAATTGCTGGCTACAATACAAGCATCCTCCAAGCTGAAGAGACATCTTCTGGAAAGATGCACAGAAACCAAGGT